AGAGCATTTCGCAGGGCAGTGCACGGAATGTTATTCATTCAAAGCAAGAAGCAGAAAAAATGCACTGTCATTAGCACTGCCAATTGGCTAACTTATTTGAACTTAGCACGCATTAAAGTGAAATTGGTTGGATACGTTAGTGATTGGTCTGAGTGGAAATGCTAGGCTTAGATTTCAGGACTCGTAATTTTGCTAAACAAACGACTAGCTAAACTGCGCATTGCAGCGACCAGTTTATGGAAAACACGCATGGAAGACATGTATATGACTGGTCATAGTCATATTCAAATAGAGTCACTGACAGTCTAAGCGGTCTGAGCATTCTCGGTATATGCCCACTGAACGAACTTGAATGAAGTACCAGTGTCATCCGGACAAATTTTCGTGGGTATTCCATTTACTGATATCAGAGAGATATTTCCGCATGCTAGACGCAGCTATACTGGACAGGGAAGTAAAAGTATAGGGGAGTAAAAGTTCCTCAGGTGTTTCAAGCTTTCAAGTTGTTTTTACGTTGCAAACTTCACTGATATGGCGCAAAAAAAGCAGCATTTTCACTATTTTTTTCGAGTCCCACAGATCGACCCCAAGTCTATGATGAATATTGCAAATAAATACAGTGCATAACGGCCCAATAATTTGAGTTTCGCAGCAACAGTCTTTCATTGGTACAGCTGCACCGGTGCTACTTCTCTGCATAAAATCCAGCTTTAGCACAAAATGCAATACCGGAAAGGCCGAGACGGCTTCGTCGGTCGATTTCTCGTGGATCGAGCGAAAGTCGTGGCTCGCGCGACCTGTCAAAAGAAATAATAGCAAGCGGTGGCCTCGCCAGCACACATTTCCAGGTTGAAAAATTTTTGAATGATTTTCACTCCGAATAGTGTCATCACATTCTAGAACAAGTACTTTCACATACTGTCCGACTGGGTGACCGCTCGAAAAATTTTCGCCATTTTCACAATGATTCTTCTAAAATATGGTCTAAATAAAATAGCCCGGCCCGCTGGATGAAGGGCCATTCACTTGCGTGGTCATCTTTTTGTCTTTGCTCCACATTTTCCCGTCTAATGCATA